GTGAGAAAAGGTGGGAATTGGACAGCAGGTCTCCACAGAAGGGCACCCTATCACCTTCAAGGAGGATGAAGAGTAGCTTTGATGATTCTTTGAAGAATGCTCCTGAGCATGGGGTCTGGTTAGAAATATGTAGGAGAACTAAGCTGTGTGAGGGGCCCCTGGTGGCTCTCTGTAGGAAATCTGAGTTTGGCTTGGGGTTGGGCCCCCTGGAGGACTGTGGGGGAATTGGCTTTCTGAGCTCCTGAAGACAAAGAAGAAAGATGAGTTCTACCAGATGACTTATGGGGGTTTCCCAGGAGGAGCTGCTCATGGAGGCCAAGATTACAGAGGTGCTCAACGTACACTCACTGGAGACACATGAGTGACTTGAGGCTGACAAAGAGAAGCAGGCTCACAAGAAGCAGAAGTACCCTGAGCCCATAATTACCTGTCATTCAGTGACAGTGCTGCTGGTGGGGAGCAGACCCTAAAGAGAATGTTGATGTGAAAGGACTTGATCTTGCTCCCATGGCTTCTGCATTGACTCTCTGTGTCAGGATGGGACCTGTCATCCCTCCTGCTCATTGCTCAGGTACCTTCATCACTTTTAGTGATGATGTGACATTTAAGAAATAGTTTTCCCAAGTGTGGCCCCCAAAGGTCCCTGCTTAGAGATCTTCCTAGTAAGCCATGGCCCCACCCTATACCAGCACCGTTACAAGACATAGCCTATGCCAGCCACTGTGCGAGCCTTCAAATAATCTGTGAGGTCTACAAGAAGTACATCACTGTCCACAAACTGCCACTCACTGCCTCAGCTCTGGGTCCTGGCCCACCACCTCCTGAGCCCCTCCCTAGTTCTGGGTCTTGAGTCTTGTGCCAGAAAATTGTCACCAAATGAAGGGATGTCTAGTCCTTAAAAACCTCTTTCCTGCTCTGACTTGGGCTCTCAATGTTCCTCCTTCTCTCTCTGTTTCTCCCTTTGTCATCTCTAATCTTTGCCCAGTTCCTATATGTCTTTCACCACCATTTACCCTAGTTCCTACTGGTTTTGTTTGTGGTTTTTAATCTAGTAAAATAGAAAGTTCCATTTTAAAAAAAGAAAAGGAAGAAGAAATATTTAATAATTTTTCCAGCTTTGCCATTGAAATGTGTTTTGAGCTTTAGCTTCTCATCTATAAACAGAAATAATAACAATATACCTATGTTACCTTGCTCACAGTTTTGCTGTCAAGCTCAAATATAGTAAGTGAAAGCACCTTTAGAGCCAGTATTATGTATTAGTTAAGGAGAAAGACGCGGGAGGCAAATTGCCTGGATTAAAGTCCCAGCTATACAATTCTTGTGTGACCTTGGGAAAGTCACTTAGTCTCTTTGTGCCTTGATTTCTTCATTTACAAAACAGGGATGACTCTTGAACTCTTGTCACAGGATTGTTGATGATTAAAATGAGTTAAATGTGAAGTAGTCAGAATAGCGCCTAGCACATAGTTAATACAATACTTTATGAATTAAGTCATCATTATTATTGTTGTAAAGTGCTATCCAGAATAATTATGATTATGATGATTAATTCTTAGATACAGAAACAAGTAAGAATTCTTCTGTGCCTATATGGAGAGGAATAAACAGGAAGCACTGAGTTCTGCTCTGAACTACAAGTTTAGGCTTTTAAAAGGGCCATAAAAATGCCATCTAACTGACGAAGGTCTGGAGTGAGGGAGGCACACCCCTTGACTATCCTGGAAAAACATCATTTCCACCCTGCCATATTTATCTCTTTGGCTTACTTCTGACCAAAGGTCCACTCTATACATGATCCTACTGCATCCAGACCTTTGCCACCAAATGACCCTATACTGAGGGGCTCTGACTGGACGAGATGTGGTTAAAAGGGCAGCTATGGGGCCTATCTATTGTCACAAAATGTAGAACCAGCTTGGGGAGGTCAGGACAGGCTGGCTGACCACAGATGTGGGTGCTTCTGACCTTTGTAAGGAAGAGTCAAGAGTTGGATTCCAGGTTAGAGAGTAAAATTATAGAACTTTTAGGTGGAGTGAGATTCTTCTCCTTACTCATTTCCCAATATATTATACTGTCTCACCTTATATTAGCTTAAATTATTCCAGTGATTTAAAGAGTTCAATGCACTGTGAAATGGTCTCATCTGATCCTCAGTCACTTTATATGGCAGATGTTGGTATCAATGTGCTCAGATGAGAAAACTGAGGCTCAGAGGAGTTTGGTGACTTTCCAGGGGTCACCTGGCTTAATCACCAAAGGAACCAGGATTCTAACTGGTGTAGCTCAGCTTTCCATCTAGAGCTCTTTTTGCTACAAAAACACCAACACATTGCCTGCTCAAAGCAGACTGGGTAAATCCACATTCACAGATGAAGGTGATAAACTGATACACTGAACACCCTGCCAAATGGAAGGAATGACACCAAGTTCCAGAGCTTGGGTAGAATGTGGATTTTGTGTTCCACTTACTTGACTAGTTTTCCGAAAATAAAAAGATCCCAACAATACAAATATTAATATGGGCCAGGCCTTATAGATATGGCTTTACAGATAAGGCCTTATTTCCACTCCTTGTTTTATCCCAAGGAGAGGATAGGTGGTTTCAAAGCTTGCATCATGAGCCCTGGCTAGGTTTTTATAATACCCGTTCACTCTCCATCAGATGGAATGAATTTACTTATGTTTAGAATTGCTGTCTTAGATTGCGAAATTCTGTGTACATTCAGACACAGGTGAGATGGTAGAGAGTCATAGTAAACATATGTTGAAGAATCAATTTGTGGGCACAACAGTGTTAAAGATTAAGTGATGACATACAGACCACTATGAAAGCCCTGCATAGTCAAAAACAAGTGAAACACAGAAATAGAACAGAATCATATTTTAATATGATTTTTAGCATTCCACCCACCCCTTAAATATCTTGACCTCATTTTGGCTGCTGTGGCAGCCACTAAGTAGGCAAATTTGTTTCTGGCAGGTCTGCTTCTTTTAAGACTGTGCTGCCACCTCCTGAAAAAAATTGGAAATAGCAAGACATTTCTTGTTAGGGATTAAGGAAGGGGTCTTTTTCAGGCAGCAGCCATTTAGAGGTGGTGCTCCTGGAAGTGAAATGATGTGGCTGTGCCAGTCTGCACTCACCCAAGCCAGCTGAGGTCTGTTTTCTGGTGTTCCTACAGCTTTTCTGATTTTTCAGAGAGACTTCTAAACCCAGTTCTGAGAATTTTTTTTTCTTCAGTCCAATAAGTGTGTTATTACTAATGATCTTCATCATCTGATGTCAAATCTGAGGTAGAGCTGATAAAACACTTTGGTAAGTTCAGTCTTAGACCGATCCACAGTTTCCAGGGCTCTTTGCTTGCCTTTGTTTGCTGTGTGGGAATGCATACTGCCTGGTAAGGAAGAGGGACTTAGGATGAAACTCCTCCCAAATGACCCTGAAAATGTGTTGGTCCCAAGGGCAGCGTTCCAAAATCAATAGTGATTCCTCAGACAGGGTCTAGTCCTGAGCATGACAAACACATTTTTTCTCTGCTCTGCCCCCAACCCTGTTAGGAAACAAAGTTAATTGTAGATAGCAACTCCACCCCACCACTGTTGTCACTCCCAGTCTCTCTTCTCTATTTTACTTATTTATCCTTAGCATTTATTATTGTCTGACATACTACTATATATATTTTACTTCCTTGTTTTTTGTTTCCTTTCACTATGATGAAAGCTCCACAAAGGCAAACATTTTGTCTTCTTTGTTCATTGGAGGATCCTCAGTTCTTAGAACAAGGCTTGGCACCTAGAAGATGGGGTAAGTTCAGTCCTAACTTCATCATCTTATGTGGTTATAGGGTTCATACTTATTTTTCCTTAGAGTCTGATGGATTTGATGTTTCTGCCTCTGCTTTTCATGAGGACTTTCTACAGAGAACTGAAAGCCCAGCAGATGGGTGTGTATAAATCTGGGGACAAGGGAAGGGGGTCTACGATGTGAACAGGCACATACCCTGTGCCTGGCCTGTCTAATCATGAGGGGAGTAAACAATTCTAGAGAAGCTTTGGAGAGAGTTCAAAAGGTAGGGGACTGGGGAGAAATTAAATCTGAGAGAGTTTATTATGAAGTTGGGAGGCACAGCAAAGCCTGAAGTACAGAATATAAGTAAATGTAATTTTATGTATCTGTGTAAAATTATTTGATACTACTTATTATAGCTACAATTCATTGAATACTTGCTCTGCTCTGGAACTTGATTATAAATTGCATTACACACTGTATCTCTTATTTATGTGACACAATGAAGGCTCAAGCTTATGTAACTTGCTTGTGTGATGATCGTGAATTCCCTGAAGAGAAAGCATAGACATAGTCCCATCCTGCAGAACAGAGTAGTGCTTAAATGTGAGCCTTTGAGCCAAACAGCCTTGGATTGACACCATTTTTGTCACTAGTTGTGTGACTTGAGCAAATTATTTAGATAAGCTCCAATTTCATCTCCTGTAAAGTGGGGATTACAGTTTTTCTGAAGGAAGAACTAAATGAGAATCCACGTAAAGTGCTCAACGTAGGGCCAGGACCTGCAAGTCCTGGATAAACGTGAGCTGGGCCTGGGACACACAAAGGAAAAGTGACAAGTTGTAATGTTTCCTTTCAGTGCCTTTCCTGGTCTGCCCTAATTGCTATCCCTATGGATGCTCAGAATCGTGCATGCTGCTCCATTTCCTTACTGGAATTTCTTCATTCTGGCCTCCGCTAGGCCTGGCTAGTAAAAGGATCAACTCATCTCTCAACACAATCTCACCCTTTGTATTCCCCCGCACCCGTCAGTAAGTTTTCTTCCGGGACAGAGCCAGTTTCTGGGGCGCGCGGCATGCTGGTGGTTGTAGTCCAGACCTGCCCATCTGCATCGAGAGGGATACTGAACTTAGTAGAGCCGGAAAACTACAACTCCCAGAGTCCCGCGCGTGGCCAAAAGCCTCCCGCCAGCAGAGCCGCGAGACCAGAAAAGAGACCTTCTCGGCCTTTGGTGGGGTGGGCTGTTCTTAGGGACGCTTGACCTGCCTTCTCCCGGGCCTGCGCGCATCTGTACACATCGCAGGGCCAGAGAAACTAGGCCAGGTACTTGAGACACGCAGCCGTTCTGCACATCGGAGGTGTAAATTGGTTCCCCAGGTGCCGGGCGAGCCCAGCTTTGACTTAGAATATGGTCCCTTCTTTTTCCTTGTCCAGGACTCAGCCCCCGGAAGGGTTGTGGGCAAGGCAGTGAGGACACCCCACTTCTCCCAGGCCGAATCGGGCTCTTCTGGAGCCCCGGAGAGGCGGCTGCTTGGACGTCTGCAGAGACAGGCCTCGAGCCAGGCTGCTATGAAGAGTGACACGTCGACAGCTGCAGTCCCCCTTAGAGGGGTCAGGGGCGCCCTAAGCAGCACTGAACCCGTGCGCGTCTCCCTCTCGCCGGCGGCGGCTTCGGCTCTACTGGAGGAGGCTGCTGACCTCTTGGTGGTGCACTTGGACTTCCAGGCGGCGCTGCATACCTGCGAGCGAGCGGGCAAGAGCCTGAGCAAGGCGGCCCTGGCGGACGCGCCAGCGGGCACGTATGTGCGGGGCTCGCTTGGGGAGGGACTCAGCCTCTCGGGAGCCTGTCATTCCCAGTGCGCACAGGAAGCCTCTGACGGGCTGGTGTGCCCATTCTACAGAGGAGAAAACTGAGGCCCAGAACACAGCTTCGCCAATTCTTTGCTCCCTATTCGAGTGTGATGGCGTGATGGGAAGATAGAATGTGTATTAAGTGTTAAATTACTTTCATAAGCAGGCTTTGTCCTTTCCTAGCTACACTCCCTGTCCCCAAGTTCACTTCTCGTCTTTGCTGATGAGTGAGAATAGGGTTCTGGTCCTGTTGAACAGTTGAATCAAAGAATCAACCTGGAGAAAACCTTGGCTCTCCATTGCTCTTTCCAATGAGGCTAACCTCTTATGCAATGTGAGGACATCATGTCTCGGTGGGTTGTAAAATTGGATTAGATCTCACTAGGGAGGTGGTGGGTAGAATAGTCAAAGTGGGGGAGCCCTGATTGTGATTTTAGGGGTTGTGTGGGGGGCTTGTTGCAGTAAACGCTGAAGGCTGTGATTCTGGGTGCCTGCAGATACCTCACTGGTTGGTACTAAGGCCAGTGGATTCCCTATACCCACACTCAGGCTCCATGCCCATTTCTTCACCAAGCAAACTGTTAGCTCCAGCTCTCTTTCTACCCACACACCTGTGCTGCAGGTTGTACTTTCTCTTTTCTTGCTTATTTAACTTATTTCACTTGCATACAAAAATGTTGGACAAGAGTTGATTTATCTCTAGGAGGTTTACAGGAACTTTTAATTTCTAGGGAAATGGGCAGTTTTCTCTATGTTGGGGCCCATGAGACCAATTGTAATTGTGAGGCCAACTTGAATACTAATGAGGAGGATGGAAGTGATGGCTGCTAAATTGGGAGCTGGGGAAGAACAGTCCCAGGGTGGAGGTCTGAATGGAAATGGAGGGGGACCACTTCTAAACGTGAATTGGTTTTTCTGCTGACAGCTCCTTGGAAGTGAAATGCTCCCTGTGTGTTGTGGGGATCCAGGCCCTGGCAGAAATGGATCGGTGGCGGGAAGTTCTTTCCTGGGTTCTTCAGTATTATCAGGTCCCTGAAAAGCTACCCCCCAAAGTCCTGGAGCTGTGGTAGGTCCTTCTTACTGACTCATTGAATCATTCCAGAAATGAGGATTTTTGTGTTCTTTCCTGAATCAGTGCCTAATATCTCCCTTTCCCCATTCCCTACTATTTCCCTCCAAATCTAATTCTTTTTTCTTTCCAGACCTCAAAACAGCACTAACGGATGAGGAAGGAGGGATTTAGGAGTGGGTTAAAGGAAAGAGGAAGAGAGAAGATACTGGGAATAGGAGATGTGAAGTGGGATGACAGAGTGGAGTGTCAGAATGAAGAGAGAGCTTCTTGCTACTTTCTAGGAATTCCTAATTCTTTCAATGTCAGCATTCAATAGGGAAGGGCTGGAGCATGTGGGGGAGGAGTTGGATAGGAGAGTATAGTGGTTATGAGAAATGAACCAACTGTGGAGCACTGACTGTTCTTTTTTTTTTGGATTGGATTATTTGGGGCTGCAGTGTTCTTTTATATAGCAAAATGCAAGAGCCTGGAGCTGTGCTGGAAGTGGCCAGTGCCTGGATGCAAGACCCAGACAATCAGGGCCTTCCAGAATACAGAGCCTTGGCAGAACTTCACCTGCAGCAGGTGCTGCTGCCTCTGGGCTGCTTGTCAGAGGCTGAGGAGCTAGTGGTGGGCTCTGCAGCCTTCAGTGAGGAGCAGCGCTTAGATGCACTCCAGGCCATTAGCGCAGCAAGGCAACAGCAGAAACACGAACACTCTGACTCTGAGGAGGACCAGAAGCTAAACCAGGAAGGTAGGATATTATCCTTCTGTGGCTTCTGAAAAGTGTAGCTGTGTGCTTTCCTCAGGACCTTGGGGTCTGTTGTGACATTCCTGGGAGGTTGGGAGCAGTTTTTCGTATGAGTAACTTCCAAATCAAAGAATAGGAAACCTGTTGAGTTGCTTAAAAAGCCCAGACACTCCGAAGCTGATGGTGGAAGGAAAATGTTCATATGGGGAGGTGTTGCTGGGTCTTAGGACCTTGACTCTTCTCCTGAAAGTCACCATCTTCTTGGGGTCCTCATATTAGATTTCTTACCTGTACCATGCTGGGCTGGGTAGGATGTTACTCCTCCTTTAAATGCTGGTGCAAATATAGACACAGCTGAGGTATGCTTGGGGTTAGCCAAAGGAAAATGAGAAACTAACACGACAACTTGGTAACTTGACTTTTGAGGTAAAAATTACTTATCTTCAGTTTGGGTGCCACTGCCCAGTCTCCTGTCTGCCTCACTCATGAGACCTCTTGGGTGTCTTTTTCAGTGATTGATATCTACCTCCTTCAGGGACAGCCCACCTCTGAGTGCAGATTTATAAACTGGCTTCTGCAGAGAAACCACTTCAAGACCCAACACCATACACCTGGCTAGTGTCATATAAGGGGAACCTTCACAGGGGTGGGTGTGGGTGTTGATTTGTTACAAAGGGACTTTAAAGGTTCCTCTACTCCAGACCCTTCTCCTCGTTCTTGAATCCTTTTCATCTCCTTTCCCTCGAGTGGTCTAGTGTTCTAGAATAGACATGAATATGTCTAAAGGCAGAACATTCACTATCTCCTGAAGGAGAAAATTCACTGTCTCCTAAAGCAGAAACTTCACTATCGCCTAAAGCAGCTCATTCCATCAATGGGCAGTTCTGTAGGGAAGCTGTTCTTTATCATGAATTTAAGTTTTCCCCCTAGTGGTTTCTAACTTACTGATTTTTTTTTTCTTGGTAATATAAAGAATAGGTTGAATCCTTTTTTCCCCCACAAGAGCCCTTTAGCTGTTAGGAGGCTGTAAACCCTGTTTTTCTGTGTTTTTCTTTGTGTGCTAAAGAGCATGAACTTGCTGAGACAGGATCACTTATTTGCAAACAGGGTTTGTTTGCTTCAGGGATTACCTATGGCTACTCAGGCCCTATGCCTCCTACCAGGACTGGGCACCACTTGTTCTTGGTTTGGTAGTGTTCATGTTTATATTCATAATCCAGGACTTTAGAGTTCTTCACAATGTGTGCTAAGTGCTCTTCATTTTCCTGCATTACGGTGATGATTGACCTATTGCTCTGATAATCAAGACCTATGGCATATATCTTAGGCCAAAATATAAATAATGTTATAAAGTGATGAGGATATTTAGAAAGGCACCAAATATGCCAGGCTTACCTAGTTGAGTAGATATGATCTGTCAAAGTCCTCCCCTAAGGAGATGGTACTCTGATGATAGAGTCTGTCCTTAAAGCATTTTTGGAGCTTGCAGAATCTCGTTTAGAACCATTTTATGACTTGCATGAGTTACAGAATTAACTTTTGTTCAACCCTTATAATCAAGCTCAAACCTCAGATTTAGAGAAGCTGGATCCTGTGACTTACCTTACAGTTATGCCCTGTCTCCCTGACCAGGCTCCTCCCACAAGTTCCTATCACTACTGATGTTGCTTCGCCGGCTTTGGGACTCTGCAGTGAGCCACTTAGTTTCCTTGCCCTTCAAAAAGAGCCTCCTGGCCACCTTGATCCTCTGGCTCTTGGTGGTGAGGTTTGATCCAGGTGAGTGATGAAGCCTACTTCCCCTCCCACCCTTCCTGGAGAAGGGGCAATTGACAGGGGCTGGGCCTGTGGGAGCCCTCTTGGGAAAGGAGGTACCTTCTGTGCCTGTGCCATTTCTCCCTGAGTCTGTTCTATAAGGAGGGATTGCTGGAGCTGAGCAAGAGCTGGCCCCAGCCCACCTAGGAGAGACTAGTGCTACAGCCCATGAGAACAGTCTGGAAAAAGTCCACTGTACCCTACTGACCCTTGAACATTGACTCTGAATCATTGTCATCTACTTTATCATCTACTTTTTGCGGGGTTGAACTCTGAATAGAACCTCAGAGTTTAAAAAAAGTCTTCCTCATTATATGTTTGAAAAATGGTGGTAATTTAAAATATACTAAATTGTAAATGAAATACATATACATTTTAGAAAATGTGGAAATTAGGGAAAATTATAAAGAAGAAAACAAATCACCTATAAGTCTGCTGTTATAATGGTTATACCTTCAGCATTTTTCCACGTATAGAGATATATGGACATAGGTGAATTTTGCGTATCAAAAATATTCTTTGAAACATGGCCTTAAATGGTAAATAATATTCCAATTTACAGAAAATTCTATACTTGACTTAACAATTGCAGAACACTTTGATTATCTCGTATACTGTTTCTGCAGTGCTGTGAAGCAGACCTGAGCTCCCTAAGTACTATTTGGGAACAGCTCTGGTTATTTCCTGAGGATTAATTCCTTAGACATGTAAGCACTGGGCCAAATGATAGGAGCTCATGCTTTTAGTTTTTTTCGTCTTTTCCTCTATGCGAGTTTTGATCTGATCTCTACTCTTCTCATGAATTTAGACTTAGAATAAAATTACATAACTTTTAAAACTGGAGGAAAAAGTGGAAACCCTTATTTGAGTACCTTTATTTTATTTTTCTTTCTTTTCTGGTTGAGAAGGCTGAGAACCACAGAGAAAAGTGACTAGCCCAGGATCACACAAAGAGTTTGTCTTTAAAACTGCCAGTTTTTGATTTAATCTTTAGATTTCAGTTTCCCCCATTTCCCTTTCTCTAATTCAGCAAACTTTTTTTGTATAGCTCAGTGTAGTCCTTTTCACCCCTTTGGTGAACATTGAGCAGTAATTCCCTCTGAATAGCTCTGTTTGCTTCAGGACATAATCACTAGTAAGCCCTCAGGTAAGCTAAGGGTAGTTTGCATTCATTCATATCTATCCTCTGACTTTCTTTTATTTCTTTTTTCTTTTAAAAACTTATCTTTATTGTTGAAAGTATTACAGATGTCTCCCTTCGCCCCCTTTGACTGGCTCCATCCCGCTCCCACCCCCTCTCCAGGCCTTCACTGCACTGTTGTCTGTCCATGGGTTGGCTTTAGCTCAAGTGATTACTTCATCATGGCAGACACTGTCCTCTGTCTTTCTACATTGTTCCAGAGACTTGATAAAAATTTAGAAAAAGTTTTATGGTTTTTATAAGCCCTTTAGTCTCATAAACCCTGGTCTCCCAAGTGCAGATGGCAAGGGACCATTTGAGCTTGCTGTTCGAAAAGCTGCTCAGACTTCTTCAGAAGTGCCCCGGCTGATGGTCCTGACCCTCAATGGTAATTGTGACTCATTGCAGTGGTGGTGCTGTGGGAAAGGAGAACCCATGGATGGGCTGCAATTAGAACTCCGTAGAAAGGATATATAGAAAGTAGTCTGTCATTAGCTTTCTTAAAAAATAACATCCTCCTTTTTAAGAAAGAAAAAAAAAATCAGTTAAAAAATCAGGAATTCAGCCCTGGCCAGTATGGCTTGGTTGGAGCATGAAAGGTGGCAGGTTCAATTGTAGGTCAGGGCACATACCCAGGTTGTGGGTTCGATCCCCAGTCAGGGCACGTCTAGGAGGCAACCAGTCAATGTTTCTCTTTCACATCTGTGTTTCTTTCTCTCTCTTTTTCTCTCTCAAATCAGTTTTAAAAAATTTAAAAAAATCAGAAATTAAAATAATGAAAAACAAACCAACTCAGCTTTAATTCCAAAGAGGTAAATTTTACTTTATTTTATTTCAGTATAATTAACATGATAAAAATAGGTACTACTGTTACATGGCTCCAAATTTAAAAGAAACAGAAATGAATATAGTAAAAAGTCTCTTATCAAATTCATCTCACCAGAAGCAGCCACATTAGCAGTTTTTGGTATGTCAAAAAGATTAAAACATAATGAATTTGAATCTTTTTGTCAGCAAATTTAAGGTCATTGCAGTCTAAGTGAAGAAAGTATATTCCAGAGAATACGTCCTAGAGAAAGTGAAATTCTTTATTGTTGAGGAGGAGAGAAGGAGGAAATAACATTAAGCATGAAAATATGCTTTAAAAAGAATCCTGTATATTCCCAAGTTGGTAGAGTTCTCGAAGGTTGGGAAATGGGGCTGAGTGAAGAGCGGGGGAGTGAAGGAAGGTACATTAACAAGAGTCTTCTTTTCCCTGCAGCTTCCCCTTCTTCCCTGCCCTTCCTCTGCAAGCTGGCCCAGCTCTTCCATTGGATCCGGGAGGCTATGTTATCTTCTCTTTACTAGCTCCCCATCCATGACTGAGTGGTCTCCATTCACCTCAGCCTCTCCACTCCCCACAGCAGAGTAACTCATCCATGGCGCCAATTTCCTGTTGCTGACTGGGCCCCTATGGGAGTGGGTCCAGTCTGATTCTAGGAAGAGCTGATTCAATCACACAAACTGTCTTGCTGCCGGAATGCTCTCCCCTGTGCGTCCCACTTTGGCTGGTGTCAGTAGGTCGTGTGGAAACAAAGCAGGGCCAGAGGGCACAAGTCCTCCAGAACAGTTCCCGCTTATACCCAGAGGCCCCTTGTAAAGGAGGAGTTTGGGAATGAGAGTACATCCATGAAACATTCCATCTTCTTGGCAAAGGCAAGGGGTTGATTTTTCAGGTCAGGGTGTGAATGAAGCTTGGAAGTTCAGAAAAAAACCCCTTGAAAAACTTACCCCTAGAGTTTATACCTGAGAGGGCCCATTTTTTCTTATGCTTCTCTCCATGGATCTGGCCTAGTTGTTTATCTGCAGACAATTCCCATGGTTTTCAATGGACTCAAAGCTGCTTGGGCCCATTCTCTGTTCAGACCAGGACATAGCTTTCAGAACCACCCAGGTGACTACTGAAAACAAAGTGAGCGCTGGCCGGTTTGGCTCAGTGGTTAGAGCATCAGCCCGCAGACTGAAGGGGCCCGGGTTTGATTCTGGCCGAGGGCACATACCTTGGTTGCAGGCTCGATCCCTGGCCCTGGTCAGGGCGCTTGTGGAAGGCAACCAATCGATGTGTCTCTCTCACATCGATGTTTCTATCTCTTTCTCTATCCCTTCTACTCTCTCTGAAAAAAGAAAAGAAAAGAAAAAAAAGAAAAGAAAAGAAAAGAAAAGAAAAGAAAAGAAAAGAAAAGAAAAGAAAAGAAAAAACAGTGAGTCTGCTTCGCTCTTCTCACTGGGTAAAGTGATCTTGCTTGTTGCTTCTTGGGCTTCAGCTCAATTTTCCAGGTGGTTGGTGGCCAAGCCCTATTCTGTTACACTTAGTATTGCTGCCTTCTCTTTCCCTAGACCTTCCCCCTGCCATGCAGGAGTATGTTTATACTTTGTGCAATGGCTTTTTCACCAGGTTCTGCCTGTATCCTTGCCTTCTGGTAGGTACTGTTGCTGGTTCCCCCCTTTCTATGTCCTGTTCTAATTATAATCTATTGTTTGTATAATGGAGAAATTTTTCTGCTTGTGTCGCCTTGAAAAGTAGGCCAGCCTTAGAGGCTGATGAGCTGAAGGTGGAACTGGGTAGTCAGAGGAACTGGAAGGGATGTGCAGAGGGGGCTGGGCAGAGGGGAGACATGGGTTTTGAAGTCAGTGAACAATTTTATTCATTGTTAGGGGGAGAGACGTGGGGCCTCAGCGTTTGAGCACCTGAAATGTTTCAGCGTTTTCTTTCACAGGCCACAAGAATCTTACATGTTTCTGCACAAGTAAATGTAAAATACTAGTATGTCGTCATGATTATGAAAAGCCTCCAGCAGGGGCCAGCCAAGCAAACCATCCCCTGCTAGGACTTCTGTCAGTGCTGATGCCAAGAATATAGGAGGTGCCTTTAGCTTTTCAGGGTTGATTTTCAAGAGTTACAGATCAGCAACTTCTCTTTAGTAAAGTGGGTAGAGTAAGTAAATTTCACAGACCTTTGGGAGATTTAGTCCCTAGGTATTGTCCAACTCTAGGAAACAAATCTGTTCTTTTACACATGGAATTTTAATAGAGTTAACAACCCTAGGAGAGGAAGGGAAGGGAGACAGATAAGCTTTGAGAGCTCTCCTTTAGAATGACTTCTTCAAATGAAAATATGGTCCCATGCCCACAGGATAAAACCTACATTCTTCTTCATGGAATTTCAGGCCCCTTATGCACTGGTTTTGGCTCACACCTCCACTTTCATGTGGGGCCTCTGTTTCTTATGCACACTGCCCTGCAGCTGCCCCACCAGCCAGTTTTCTGAACACTGCATGCTCCCTCACACCTCTGCTATTCCCTCTGGAAGGTCCAGCCCCCCGCTTTTTGCGTGGTGAGTTTCCCAACCTTACAGACACATACAAAGTTACCCCTGGTAATCCTTTCTTAATATATTTTGCTTCCAGCCCCTACTTCATGTCTTTTCTGTGGTAGTGACTCCATGGCCTCATAGTTGTGAAATTTTTTGTTCCCTGCAGGAACTGTGAGCTCTTTGAAGCTGGAAGTATGGCTGGATGCAGTGTTTAAGAGTCGGGTTTGGATCCTTGTTCCACCACTCTCTAGTTGTGTGACTGTTGAAAAGTGATCAAACCTCTCTCAGCCTCAGTGTTTTCATCTGTGAGTTCTTATCTCACAGGGGCTTTGAATAATTGAGGTCCTGCTTATGAAGTGTTTAATAGTTATCCTGACCCAAGTGAGCTGCATCCACATTGCCCAGCTGAGTGCCTGGGAGTTAGGTGTTCAGAGTTGTTTAAAGAAATGAATTGATATGATAAGAGGTCTGTGTGCTTTTGGTGAGTGTGAGTGGTTTGTATTGTGAAAACCTTGAGTATAAAGAAGACCTGACCATGCCCAACTCATTTTCCTGTCTCTCTCCTGAAGTTCCCCATTATTGTTGTGCTTGCAGCCTTCTAGGTTCTCTGTTTTATTTTGTCCTGAACTCTCCCCACCTACCTTCCTACTCAGACAGGGAACTCAGACCAGAACTTCTCCGATGATTTTGACTTTTCTCAGGATACAGGCTAGCACTCACATCATTCTTCAGCTCTGGGCTTAACAAAGTCAGAAGTGAAGGGAGGACTTCCTCTTAGACTTACACCTGTGCTAATTCGGTAGCCATTAACCATGTGTGGCTCTTGAGCAAGTACTTGAAATTTGGCTGGTCCAAATCGGGATGTCCTTTAAATGTACAATACACACCGACTTTTGTAGACTTAGTACTAAAAAAGGAATGGAAACTCAATTTTTATATGGATTGCAGGTTGAAATGATAATGTTAAATAAAGTCTGTTATTAAAATTAATTTCATCTGTTTCTTTTTACGTTTTTGTGGGGCTACTAGAATGTTTAAAATTACATATGGCTTACATTATATTTTTCTCAGATGGTGCTATTCAACATACCCAGTACACCAAGTTCAGAGGGGATGGAAATCAGAAAAACAGCATTGTATGGTTGAATTTTGCAGGATGTTAGATCTGGAAAGATTGTCTGTTATAGCACCCTTCTTTGTAAGTTAAGGAAGTCAAGACCCAGAGAGGTGAATTGATTTGCCTCAAGTCACATAGGCTGAATAAGACAAGGAAACATGACCCTCAAGCCTAGTGCTCCTTGCACTGCATCGTGATTCTGCCTCACTTTCCCTAAAATCAGTTGCTCTCTGACTGAGGCTCGCTGCTAATTAATATGCAGAACTAATTGTTAGTTGATTAGTTCTACATGGTTGTGAGAGCGTACAACATAGAACAGACATTTTAAAATGTAGGGGTGCCCATTCCCTTTTTACCATATTGAAACCTCTCCACCCTCCCCTAAGCTTAGAAGCATAGCAACCCCAAGTTTAAGATAACAGGTAATGGTCATGCCTCTTTCCTGTTATTCCCTGGCAAACACAGAGCAGTCTATACAGCCTTCCTGGTAACTACCACAGCCACAGTGGGGAGATAAGAGCAGCTTTTCACACTCTGGACATTCAGTATTTTCTAAATCTGGAATGGCACTAAAGTGGGCTCTGCCACCTGGTTAAATCTGCCAGAGGAAATGGCAGAAAGAGGAAAGCCTGACATGAATTGCAAATAGGGCCCCCAACCACTATATCACCCTCTTTCCCTATCTTGCATGGAAAAGCCTCTGGGCTAAAGGACTTCTACCACTGATACCCACAGGTAGGGCCTGTTGTAATCTGCTGCTCTTATTCTCTGGCTTCCTTAGGCAAGCTTCCTGCAGGCTGAAGAAGGCCTTGCTCACCACTCTGCTGTGGCACTTCTATGGACTTAATACATGGAATGTTTGCAAGGTAGGGCCCTTTTCTTCCTCTGGAGACCTTAGGATCTTGGACTGGGAAGAAGCTAAATGAAAGGCAATGGGCATAATGTCTCTAGCAGCCTATGAAATCCCTCTCTGTGCTGTTTCTCCAGTGATGAAGTAGAGATCCAACATTGCCAGCCTCTAGGCGTCTTGATAAAACAACGAATATCTTTCTTAAAGAAATGCATATATATTTTAGAAAATATTAAAAATTGCATAAAAGTAAGTATGGGACTCGTCATCCTACCCCTCAGAGATAACCATTGCTAATATTGGTTGATTTTCTTTCGGTTTTAATTTCTTTATTTTTTATTTTATCTATTTTATTTATGTTCAAAATATTACAGATGTCCCTTTTTCTCCCCAATGACCCATTCCACCCTGCCCCACCCGCCTCCCCAGTCCCTCTCCACACCTTTGTCCATGTCCCTGGGTTGTGCATATATGCATATAAATTCTTTGGTTAATCTCTCCCCGTCCACCTACCTGCCCTCCTCCATCCCTCTGAGATTCATCAGTCTGATCCATGTTTCCATGTCATTAAATCTATTCTGTCCATCAGTTTATTAAGTTCTTTAGATTCCACATATAAGTGAGATCATGTGATGTTTGTCTTTCTCTGCCTGGCTTGTTTGGCTTAGCATAATATTCTCCACATCCTTCCATACTGTCCCAAAGGGTATGAGATTCTTCCTTACAGCTGCATAGTATTCCATGGTGTAAATGTCCCACAGTTTCTTATCCACTCATCTACTGCTGGGTACTTGGGCTGTTTCCAGATCTTGGCTATTGTAAGTTGCGCTGCTATGAACATAGAGGTGCATATATTCGTTCTGATTAGTGTTTCAGGATTCTTAGGATATATTCCTAGAAGTGGGATCACTGGGTCAAAAGACAGCTCCATTTTTAATTTTTTGAGGAACCTCCATAATGTTTTCCATAGTGGTTGTACCAGTCTGCATTCCCAACAGCAGTGTACTAGGGTTCCCCTTTCTCCACACTCTAACCAGCAAGTCATTTGTTGGTTTGTTGATGGTAGCCATTCTGACAGGTGTAAAGTGATACCTTATTGTGATTTTAATTTGCATCTCTCTGATGATTAGTGACGTTGAGCATTTTCTCATATGTCTCTTGGCCATCTGTATGTCCTCTTTGGAGATGTGTCTATTCAGGTGGTTTGCTTATTTGTTAATTGGATTTTTTGTCTTTATCTTGCTGAATAGTATGAGTTATTTGTACACTTTGGAAATTAGCCTCTTATCAGATACATCCTTGGAAAACACATTATCCCAGACCATGGGGTTCCTTTGTATTTTGAGGCTGATTTCTTTTGCTGTGCAGCTTTTCAGTATGACGTAGTCCCATATGTTTATTTTTTCATTTGTTTCTCTTGCCCTAGGAGACGTATCAGTGAAAATTCCACTGTGTGGGATGTCTCTGACTTTACTACCTATGTTTTCTTCCAGGATTTTTATAGTTTCGTGATTTAAATTTAAGTCTTTTATCCATTTTGAGATTATTTTTGTGTATGGAGAAAGTTGGTGAACTAGTTTCATTTTTTTGCATGTACCTGTCCAATTTTCTCAACACCATTTATTGAAGAGGCTATCTTTTCTCTATTTTATACTCTTGTCTCCTTTGTCAAGTATTAACTGATCATAATGGTTTGGGTCTATTTCTGGGGTCTC